AAAAAAAAAAAAAAAAAAGAAAGAAACCACAACAGCAAGAGCTTGAGGTTAGGGACTTTCCCGAGCGGGAGCATGCGCAGAAGCTAGGAAATGAGGCCCAAAGTTCCCTCATTAGCATAGTAAAACTCACACAGCCTAGTGCCATGACAGTTCTAGAGCCAGCCATACAACGACAGAAAATGGGAGGCATGCACCAGCACACCTGGCTAATTTTTAAATTTTTTTGCAGAGACAAGGTCTCTCCTATGTTGCCCAGGCTGGTCTGGAACTCTTCATCTCAAGAGATCCTCCTGCCTCAGCCTCCCAAAGTGCTGGTGCTGGGATTATAGACCTAAGCCACCCCACTGACCAGATTCTTCCTATTGAATAAATGGGGAAACTGAGGCCTAGAAGGGTGTATCTGTAGCACAGGAAGTGGAGGTGAAGAAGGGATAAAGAACATTCACAGGTAAGCACAACAGGTTTCTTGATTCACCTGGTGCTAGGATCTACTGGGAGGCAGATGCTTTCTTGCTCCCAGGGGGAGCCCTGGCCCCCCACACAGGCTGGAAGAGACAGTCTTGTCTGACCCATGGCTGCCTGTTTCGGCTCTGATTAAGTGGGCGTTCCTACTGCAGCAGCTGCTGCAGGTTTAAAGCCCCATACTCCCAGGAAGTCAGTTGCCAAACAGGTCCTGGAGGCCCACAGCATGAAGAACTCTGTCCCACACTCAGGGCGGATGGAGTGGGGGTGGGGAGACACAGGCAAGCAAGGCCCAGGATCATAAAACATGCCTGGAGAGAGTGCATGCACCAACTGTTTGGAACGATTCCCAAAGCAAAAGACAGACCTAATCCAGGCTGCTATGACAGCAACCCTCACAATATGTGAAATTAAAAAGAGAGAGGGTTGGGAGCAGGGAGGAGGGAGGGCCTCCTGGAGGAGGTCAGCTTCAGAATTTGTGACAGCCATAGAGAGGCAGGGCCCTGGGAGAGCTCTGCGTGTGTGAGGAGCTGTGCACACTCATTTTCTGCACCCCGCAATCTGACCTCAAGCAGTCCTGCTCCTCCCCTGCCCCTTGCCTTCACAAGCAAAGAAGAAGCTCACCTTCCCTGAACCACAGGCTCTGGGACTTAGAAGGGACCCTAAAGTTCACCAAGTGTGGCCCTCTGTAAGCATGGAAGCCCCAGGGGCGCTCTCCAGTGTCAGTGTGCATGGGAATCATTTGGAAGGAAAAAGGCAAATTCCTGGGCCCTGGCCCTAAAATTCTCATTCACCAAGTCTAGGATGGGGCTGGGAATCTATTATATTTTGCTCTCAAATTGTCGTTTGCAAAGCACGTATCTTTGCACCTTTTCATCAGTTCCAACTCAAATGCTATTTCCTCGAAAAGGCCTGTTCTTTATAATCGCCCACCAAAAGTAGCCCCAGCCCCAGCCCAATCACTTTCTAGCCCATCACCCCATCTTATTCCCTTAGAGCACTTGTCACTATCTGATAGGGTCTCATTAACTTATTGACTGTCCCCCACTAAGACCAGAAGCTCCGGGAGGGCAGGGATCTTGCTTTTGGACATCTCCATGCCCCGTGCCCAGCACTATGCCTGCCACATAATAGCTCAGACATACTTGTTGGCTGAATGGACAAACCAGCCCTGATTATTTTTAAACAGGGAGTGGGAAGGCATTTGGAGCTGCCACCCTGTCCCAGTCATGACTGGGGATTTTAGAAGCTGAAGTCATCCTCGCTCTCCCCTACCATGGCTCTCCAACACTCCACAGAGCAGCCTCCATGGAGTGACATCATGTTTATGAAGTTGCCCATCACCCTGAGAGCACTGCTGCCAGGTAAGGTACAGACAGAGGAAAAGTGGACTTCCAGAGCCTCGCAGGAGCCTCCTGAATTGCACCTGGCCTGGAGAGGAGCTCTAGGGGTGAGTCTCTCCACTCCCCAAAGGGAGTTCCGAGTTTTGTAGCTGGGGCCTGCTCGTTCTGTGGAGGGATCCCCCAGCAGAGAACAGGGCCTTCATTTTGCAAGAGTGGGGGCTAAGTGAGGCCCCAGGTCACAGAGCAGAGCCTACAGCTGGCCCCAGTCCAGGGCACTCTCCTGTTCTTGATGCGTCAAGCCTTTCCTGAGTGCCTACTGTGTGCTGCTGCAGAGGCTGAAATGCCCGGCGCCTGCCCTCTGTGGCCTCACACAACTGCCACTCTGGCTTCAGAGAAGGGGCTCTGCTCCAACTGTCCTCCCCTGCAGGCGGCCCCTCCTCCCCTCCCACAGCACAGCCGGGCTGCAACTGCCGACAGAGCAGTCCCGCAGCTGTAGAGCCATCCAGAGGGGACAGGGCTGCTCTCAGGGCTGGGGGGCCCTCACCGCACAGCTTCTTAGAGTCACGGCATTAGTTTACTAGGTTACAACCAGCACGTATTTAAAAAAAGAAAGAAAGAAAGAAAGAAAGAAATAGAAAATATCAGAGGTGTTTAAGGAAGTTAGGGTAGGTATTGTTTTGTGAAACTTTCGTTTCAAGTATGAGTGTGTCTGTATGTGGCATTAGTGTAGAATATACTTCTTCCTGTGGGTCGCAGTCAGAATCATGTGAAAAATACTCACGAGCTGTGACCTACAGCATCTGCCCTCTGTCTCCACATGGGCCAGCTCGCCTCCCCCGCAAGTACATGCCTAACATGCATGATGCCCGACGGGGAGAAGAGGGCTCTGCTCTGTACGTTTGCCATTAACAGTCCACATCGGGGATGCTTCCAAAACCAAGGTGAAATCTCCACTTGAGAGGAAACTGCCTGCTGCTTTTGAGCGCCAGTTTTCCTAGATTCTACCTAAGCCCATCTCAGCAGCCTCAGATCCCCAAGGGTCCCTGTTAAAATGATCTTCGCCCCCTTATCACAGTGAAAACACTGCTCTAAATGACTTGTGTGTATCAATGCTACGCGGTGGTACTGTTGTCCTTGCTTTTCCCCGAGAGGTGAGATGTGTCCATGGTCACACCACTAGTAAGCATTTGTGCCAGAACTGGCATCCAAGTGATCTGGCTCCACTGTCACCAGGAGCACAGTGCTTTACAGTTTCCACGTCGCCTGCCTCAACTCACTCTGTGCACCGGCCAGAGAGGAAACTGTAAAGCCCATTCCATGAAGCAGTGAGGTCCAGAGGTCACCTGAGCGGAGACCAGCACTGGGACTGGGTCTAGTCACCAGAGCTCTGTCCTCTAGACACTGTGGCCAGGGCCCTGCGGAACACCATCGTCTCACCCGTACAGTGTTCCTCGGAGGGAAACCGACTCTCACGATGCCTCAGGAGAGTCAAGAGAACGGGCACCTTCTACAGCAGCCCCCAGTGCTACTAGGGCCAAGAGCACCACCATGGCATGCCCAAAACGCATTGGGTGCCTTTGCACTTCACATCCCGGGTCAGGGGTCAGGGGTCAGGGCTAGTCTTCGGAGTAACCCCCTCGCTGCCTCACCACCACGCCCTTCCTTCTGGTCCTCCACAGGCGTCCACATCATGCTTCATTGCAATGAGTGTAATCCGGTGCAATCCTCTATGTGT